TTAAAACTCAAAGAAACCCACTTTCTAAGGTCTGCCTGCTTCCCTGTGAGTTTGAGCAGGGCATCAACACATATCTCCAGATGAGAATCCAGTGGTGCAGGACATTATGCTCAGGAGTGGTAAAATAATGTATTCACTTTGTAAGACGTTTGCAATAATGGTTAGTAATCCATAGTGATTGCTACCTGAATGGAGTCTTGAGGAGTGGACCATAATCTGCTTCATTACTCCTTCAGTAGTGAAAGCTGGGATGTCAATGGAAAGAACATCCAAAACTGCAGTATCTTCATTTCAGAGGTGCAGAGGTTTGTGATGAGAGGACATCACATTTAACATTTCACCATCACATTTCACAGCCCTGCAGATTGTTTTTATGTAATTACAATCAAGTTCTATTTGTTTTTGCTGGGGGCTGGCTGGGAACTGTCTTGCTCATGGGGCAGCTGGCAGCTAGCCTCCTGCTGGGCAAGGATTCCCTGCCTAGCTGGGGGCTTGCTGGAAGCTGTTTCACAAGTGGGACAGCTGCCAGCATTCCCCCACCTGAGCCAGGAAGCAGAAAGCTCCCCATTCCCAGCGCTGCTCAGTTCCTGTGGAAAGCCAGGAGCTATGCAGTGCTGGGACAGGCAGGGCACAGAACAACCCCATCCTGGCACAGGATCAGAGATAAAGAACTCCCCTGTGTCCTGTTTCCCTCTGCTGGTGTGGCTACATGAACCCTACTGCACAGTAGGTCTGTGCAAAATGGCACTGTTCCATTTCAACTTCAGTTTTGAGATTTGGATGAAACAGTGCTCTGTTTCAAATTTCATCCTGAGTTGAAACAGCTGTTCTGTTTCACTTCATTGAAATAGTGAGGCTGTTTTGATGCTGTTTCAATGTTTCGCCTGACCATTGGGCTGGGGAAATGAATTCAGCCCATCTGGACTGAGTTCATTTCCTCAGCAAGACCATCATGCTGGGGAAAGGAACTCAGCCCAGCTGGTCTGAGTTCCCAACCCCAGCCCCACCATCAGGCTGAGGAAATGATGGTCACGCTGAGGAAACAAATTCAGCCCACCTGAGCTGAATTCGTTTCCCCAGCCTGGAGGTGGGGTGGGGTTGGGAACTCAGCCCAGCCCAATCTAGCACAGAGGATGAAAACTCAGCCCAGCTGGGCTGACTTTCTAACCCCAGCCCAATCTAATGCAGGGGATGGGAACTCAGTCAGCCCAGCCCAATCTAGCACAGGGGATGGGAACTCAGCCCAGCTGGGCTGGGGAGGAGAACTGAGCAATCGGGCTCAGTTTCTTTCCCCAGCCCAATTGCAGTGCTTGGGATCGGGCTCAGTTCCTTTCCCCTGCGCTATGGTTGGCTTTCCTCAGCCTGGTGGCAGGAGACACAGAGAGCCAGGGCTGTGCACAGCTCTAGTTCTCCCCGGTCTCCCACCACCTCACTGCTGGCTGCTTCAAAACTCAAAACATTTGAAACTTTTGAAAGGTTTCAACTAGCCTCATTTTGTTTTGAGGCTGTTTTGAAGCCCTTTGCTTCAATTTGATTTTGCTGTTTTGAGCTTGAAATGAGTTGAAACAGTGTTGAATTGAAACAGCCTCTGAAATTTCACACAGCCCTACTGAACAGTAACTATTGTGTAGTTAATTTAGTACCTGTATTTACAGGTATTAGCTAACTACACAGTAGACTGATTTACTACTCCCTCATTTTGATCTAATGGATCTTGAATACTTTTCGATACGCTGCCAGAGCTTTAAAAGATGTGTTGGGAGATGGTTAACAAACATTATGGGGCACAGGACATGTGGGTTTATATCTTTTTAGGGAAGGAAATAAATTGAACTCAGGTCTGTCCAAATCCCAGACAAGAACTCTAAACACCATGAAAAATGAAAGCAGTAGCAACCACTACATTTTGTTAGGCAGTCAGCCCAGTTGGTGCATCACAGGGGATTAAGGGCATTTCTACACCATGGCAGCAGAGAGTTCAGTCTTGCCTCTGAGGAAATAAACCTCACCCACTTACACTTGCTCCACACATATAAACCCAGGAAAGGAGGAAGCAAAGGCTTCTCAAACATACTTTAATCCCCTATTTCTGAGAACAACAGAAACCCATGTCCTAGCAATGCGGCCCTAAGGGCACCCTCAACAACTTCCCGGTTTGATGTGCTTAAAGCAGAAGTGGGTAGGCAGGGCTTATCTCGATGGCAATGTGACTCAGCTGTCTGCTAACCTTTAACAAAAGATTACCTGGTTTCATTTTTCCCAACTGGGCTTAGAAGTGAGATGGGTCTTGAGCTGCTCAGCTCCATCAGGACCAAGGTACTACTGAACATGCACAGGGGCAGTAGTGTTGGTGTCTGTGGAAACTTAAGGTAAAAAAATGTTGTCTCTGGTGTTAGGTAGGAGCTCAGTGGGGATTTCAGGATTGTTATATTGTATTTAGGTACCAAAATTCTACCTATGTCTCAATTGAGACTTCTAAATGTTTTCAGTCTTCCCTGTTTTTCTGGACCATGTCCTCTGCCTACTAGGATGTAGCATATTACTGGATATGAAGGGAACTGACAAAATCTGCTTACCAGTGAGAAGGTTAAGGGGTTATTAATTCCCAGCCTGTAAGTACATACATGGGAAACAAAACATTGATTAAAAGGGCCTCTTCAGTCTGGCAAACAGCCAATGGATGGAAGGTGAAATGACCAACTCTTACTAGAAACAAGGTGTACATTTTTTATATTGAGGGTTATTAACTACTGAGACAACTTGATGAGAGCTGCAGTGGGTTATTTATCACTGATACTTTTAAAATCAAGATTGGGTGTTTTATTTTTTTCCTGGAGCAGTGCTATATTTCAAATAAGAATTCAGCAACATCTTACAGTCTGTGTTATAACTGAGGTCACATTACGATGTCACTGTAGTTCCTTCTGGCTGTATGATTACTGAATCTATGAATGTCACACCAGGTCATGGGTGACCAGGTCTAGGGCCACTTGAGGACTGAGGTGGTGACCAAGGTCAGAAGGAATGAGCAAAGAGCAGGGACAAGCTGGGTAAGGAAGACAGGAAATAGAAAAGAGCACAAGCCAAAGGGAACAGAAAAGCTATCTGACATCATGTTAAGCCCCATTACCAA